GTGATTTAAATCTTATTAAACTATCAATATTTTCAAAATTTGTGACCATTTTCATAGAAAATATTACAAAATCTATCCTTTGTATATTTCTATGTACTAAGCAAAATGCAGTCTTACAGTATTCTTTACAGTGATCAGTTTTTGTACTATGCTTTGAGAAAATGATGTCCTTAAAATATTTACTTTATGCTAAGTAATCTCAGATTATAGTACTGCTCATATTCAGTTTTCTTAAAATCATCTTTAATCATCAGCTATACTGCATGCTCCTTTTTAATTAATAAAAGAAGAAAAGAAAAAGGAACTAAAATGAAGAACTGCAGTCTTTGACMGTTGCAACTCACCTGTTTGTAAGATCTGCAGAGATTATTACTCTTGTTTTTTTTTTTGTGTGTGTGTGTGTGTGTTTTCTTTTTGTTTTTCTCCTCATGTCTCTAAATCTTGTTCCTTTTTTTGATACCAGGGGTGTTTAACCACTGAGCCATCTCCTTAGCACTTTTTATATTTTATTTTGAGACAGGATCTAAATTGCTTAGGGCCTCTCTAAGTTGCTGAGGCTGGCTTTGAACTCGTGATCCTCCTGCCTTAGCCTCCTGAGCACTGGGATTATAGTCTAAATCTTATTCTTATATTTAATATAGTGAACTTATGTTTACATTTCTTGCTGTGATAGGTTAMGATTTAAATCCTCTCACCTCTTCTGATTTTTATTACATTTTATTTCTGCTTTTGATTAACATTGTAACAGTAAATAGCATTCTTGTTATGTCTTGTCCATTAACTGTAGCTGACACTTCTTGGTTTTCTGATTTTGACATAAAGATCAGTAAGCACAACCTTCCCGATCATTTCTTCTCTTTTTCTTTTACCTGCCAAATTTTGTCAGCAATACTTCTATATTGTCATAGTTAATACATTTTCATTCTGGAGTTTAAGCATATTATATCTGTTCCCTGTCTATAGAGAGAATTAACAAATGTGAAAAAATATAAACAGCACTTACATTATGTATTTCCACATAATAGCATTCCTTCAAAAATAGGAGGTTATATTTATGTCCTACTTTTCTGTAGGACAGTTGTGTATGACACCTGCCCCAAACAAAAGACAGCATTCAGAATAACTAATTTCTTCACCGATTGATGGAAATTATGCTGCATTTTAATTTGCCTCTTTTCTTGACCTTGCCTCTTAATGTTCATTGTTTGCTTCTTTTCCTTTTGTGGTAGCAAATATGTCTTCCTTAATATAGTAAATATTACAGCAATTTCTGATTTTAATTATTGTCTAGCATCTATTCTCTTCATCTACATGTACAGTTAAATTCCTATTCTAATTTGTAGTGACAACTTCATAGCTTCAGAATTAGATTACAGCTTTTTTACACATCTTCTACCTTTCCTATCTCACCACATTTTTACTTGCTTTTTCATCCCCTCTGATAATGTTTCTCTCATTGTCTCATGTTTTCTCACTTTTTCATTATGCTGTCTTTTCTCTTGATTATGTCTTATTGTAATTTCCTAAAGAAATGTGCAGGAGGTAAACTTTAGATCCCTTACATTTCAACATGTTTATTTCAAATTTGATTGTCTCATTGTAGAATTTAAAATGGAAAATATTCCCTCAGAACTCTGAAGGACTTGTTTTATCTGTCAGAGTCTAATATTGTAAGTGACCAAACATCCAATTTTACTGTTTGCCAGTTATGAACTTTTTTTCTGTGAAAACCTTTAAAATCTTCTGTTAATCCAGTGTTTTGAAATATCACAGTGTTTCTTGATGTTGGTCTTTTTTTCATTCCTCTTATTCAAAACCTGGGAAATCATTCTAATTTAAAGGTGTAGTCTCTTTTAATTATATCTAAAATCTTCATCTGTTTCTTTTTTCCTCCCAAAGAATGTCTTAAAAAGCTTTTTTGTTGATTAGTAAAAATGCTTGTATATTTTGTGATGTACAAGAGGGTATTTTGTTATATTTTTTCGTATAGTTTATGATACTTAGATTGCCTATCTTCTCAAACATTTATCATTCTTTCATGATAAAATTCAAAATTCTTTCCTCTAGCTATTTAGGACTATGTGATACATTACTATTAGCTATAATCATAATGCAAAATAGAAAACCAACATTCATATCTCTTATTTAGCTATAAATGAAAATTATTAAGCAGTTTCTCCAGAAACCCCAGTCTCACCCTCTGCCCTCTKATAATAATTGTTCTGCTAACAGTTTATGTCAGTTTACCTTTTTTATATTCTTCATATGAGTGAAATCATATTTGGTCCTTGTTTCTGTGTGCTTGCCTAATGCTCAACATTACTAACCTCCAGTTGTATTCATACGTAAATGACAGGACTGTGTCCTTTTGATGACTGACTAGTACTCCATTGTGTGTATCTACTGTATTTTCTTTACTCATTAATGAATGGTTGATTTTATATCCTGGCTATTTTGAATAGTGCTATAATACATATGGGAGAGCAGGCATCTATTTGATATTTCATTGCCTTTGAATAAAAATTCATGAATGGGATAGCTGCATCACACAATAGCTGTGTTTCTTTTCTTTCTTTCTTTTTTGTTTTAAGGCATCACCATACCATTTTTCATAGTGGCTTTACTAATTTATATTTCTACCAACAATGTCTAAGGGTACCTTTTTCCCTATGTCCTCGAGAGAACTTCTTTTATCTTTTTTATTATAGCCATATCTTGGGTGAGATATCTCAGAATGTGGTTTGGATTTCATTCCTATATCTCTGCTGATGTGGAGGACTTTTGTCTGCATCTTTTGAGATACTCTACTCAATTTATTTGCCCATTTTTAAGTTGGACTATTTGATTTTTTTATTGCTGTTGAGTTCCTTATATAGTCTAGATATTAATGCTTTGTCAGATAGTTTCCAGATATTTTTTCCCATTCTGTAGGTTGTGTCTTCACTGTGTCGATTATTTCCTGTACTGCCTAGAAGCTTTTTAGTTCTGCATAACCTCATTTATCTATTTTTGTTTTTGTTGTTGTTGTTATTTATGCATTTAGACTTGTTTTGAGGTGGTTTATTGGATTATAGTCCCAGGTTACTTTCTTCCCTCTTCCACTTACATTCTACCTCTGTCTTTTTTGTTCTATGAATTTTTAAAAACTATCTTCTAATGTTCATATTTAATTTGAGCTATCTTTTACTTTGTTTCTTATATTCCTTTATTCCTTTTCTTCCTTCATTTTTTTTACATCTTTTTTTCTTTTTGGGGTGAATACTGTTGGTTGGACAAATATGTGTACCATGTACCCTGAGCATCCTGCACATTTTTCCTGGGTAGGCCACGAAAGGCCTGGCTGCTCTTTTGCCTGTGCAGTTTCTCAGGGTTTTGTGTATAGCAATAAGCTTTAAGGTGTTAGATGTCTCAGACAACTAAAGCACAGAGCACAGGCTTGTTAACAGTCCTCCCAAACTCAGTGTTTCTCTCCTGTAACACAGGCGACTGTAAGTGTAGGCATCCATGAAGGGCCTTTGTGTTACTCTATGAGATTGGGGGCAGTGAGAACTAATGCAAACAAAAATGAAGTAATAAACTCTTTTTTCTTTTCTCTCTCTCTCTCTCTCTCTCTCTCTCTCTCTCTCTCTCTCTCTCTCATCTGTCTCCGACTCAAGAGTATTATTTCACAAGAATTTATATTTGTCTTTTACTTTTTCTAAGTCTATTAGCATTTTCTTTTTAGTGTTTTGACCTATGAAATCTGCTTTTGTTTGGAGAATTTGTTTTAAAATTATGTGAGGTTTTCCTCTCATATCGGATGATTTTTTTTTTTATAGTCTGGTCATTAAACAATAGAAAGGCTGACACTGGGATTGGGGAGGGCAAACTTTGTGTGTACTATTTATACAAATAGTAGAAGTTTAATTATAAGACACTTATTTTCAGATCATTTTTTTTTATCTCTAGACTCTGCTGCTTATGAATCTACTATTTTTTCCTCATTTCTTACTGTCCTGTAGTTGCCTCTTAGATTGTAGCTTTCTCTATCAAATCTGTTCCACTAGTTGTTTTCCAAATATTTCTTTAAATTTCTTATCTGCTGCTAGTTTCAGTCTGTTTGGGACTTTACCTTTGTATTTCTTACATTTTGGGGGAAGAGGACGAGAGAAACACTTGAGAATAGTTAACTATATAGAAGAAGCATTCTTTTAAAAAAAAAACAAAAAACAAAAAACTTCTTGCTTCTGGTTTCTATTATGTTCTTTCTGCAATGCCATTTCTCTGTTTCTCCTCCCCCTAGATCTCTTAGGAAATATCATCATCTGGAAAATTGGTAAATGTTSAGTAAAAATGGGTTCAATACAGGAATAAATATTATCTTAGAAAAAGGTTTGTGGTAGCTGGTTTAGGTACTCAGAGAAATTGGTGCTTAATTTAGGTTTATTAAAAGCATTTTTACATAAATACATAAAGGTGAAGTATATTTGTATTTATAGGTTTAAAACTTTACATTTTCTTAGGATTTTTGTTGTTCTGTTAAACTCAATTAAAAATATTTTTAAAAATTGCTCTGTGCTTTTTACTGAAAATTATTGAAAAATTTCATATATATGTATAGCAAATGCCACAGAATGTTTTTATTCCCTTGAACAAATGTTGGTAAATTTTAAAGGAGCATGTCAAACTTTTGGCCTAGCAGTTTTTGTTACAACTATTCACCTTTACCTTACAGTGTAGCCTTAAGAAATATTTAAATCAGTCAGTATGACTGCACTGCAATATAACTATTAATGGGCAGCAAAATTTGAGTTGTATGTAATTTCATATCATAAAATATTTTCTTTTTTGTATTTACTTATTTATTTTTACAAACATTATCTTGTAGACCATACTTGTATTATTAGCTTGCAGTTCATACAGAATTTGTCAGTTCTTGCCCTAGATTACTTGTCCTATTAGAGACTTTTTTATTTGAATATTGATATGTTTTCTATTTGCTCCATTACCTTTTTAGGCAAGCTAATGAAGAATACCAAATATTGGCTAACTCCTGGCGTTATTCATCTGCTTTTTGTAACAAACTGTTTTTCAGTATGGTGGACTATGATGAAGGAACAGATGTTTTTCAACAGGTAAAAAAAAGTTGTATTTCATTTTGGTACTACACAGTATAGTTGGTTATAGTTGATACATTTTTGCTTGCCAGATAAAACTATATTTCATTAAGTTAATAAATATAATAAGTAGTTAAAATAAAATACATGATTTGGTTAAAGTTATAGTTAATATTATCTCTATAATTTTAGTTTCAGCCATTGTGAGTAAACACATTTTGAAGTTTGTATTGTAGAGCAAATGTGTTTTTATCAGCATACAGTGGCAATTTACATGCATTAATATTATTTTTCTATTTAATTATATGTGGTCTAGGTAATATTTTGCACAAATTTATGATATTTTKTATAAAACCTAATAGAAGTTTTACTTAACCTAATTAAATATAAATATTTTTAATATAAKTTATTGTTTATTTAAAAGTGTTTTCTCTCTGTTATGGACTGAATTTTATCCCACTCCAAATTCATATGGTAAAGCCATAAATCACAACATGACTATATTTGRAGGTAAGGTGATTAAGGAGGTAATTGAGGTTAAAGGAAATCATTAGGGTAAGTTGCTAATCCAGTAGAACTGATGTTCTCATAACAGAGGAGGATACATCAGGAGTGCATRTTCACAGACAAAAGGCCACGTCATAGCAATAAGGTTGCTTTCTAGCAAAGCTAGCAAAGGAAGTTTCATCAGAAACCAAACCTCGTCAGCACATTGATTTTGTATTTCCAGTCTCCATAAATGTAAGAAAACAAACTTCTATTTTTTTTAAGCCTCTTAATCTGTTGTGGCAGCAAAGTAGAAGAATGTAACTTTCTTTACAGTCTTCTCTATAAACAAAATATTGGATTTGGTATACAGATGCTAGTTGCCATTGATGTTGTCAAGTTGTGTTGTTGTCCTTGCTAATGCCGAGTGCTTCGGATTATGGCTTTTGTTCAGGCAGCTTAAGCACTTAGACCTTTTACTCACCCAGGGACATTACTTGCAGGTTGCTCACAACCAAAACACTCAGGGGTCACTCCAGGGGAACTGGGCTAATTGGGTTGCTAGAAATACCACACAAGAGACAGAAATATTTTTATCTTTGGCGGTGCTGTGACAACTCCTCTGACCTTAAGGGTCCCTGGGCACAGAGAGAGAGAAGAGACCATGTGCTGACCCCTTTTATAGAGGAGAAGCTATTTAAATGAGGCAAGGGGTCAGGTTTCAAGGGGCTGAGTCTAGCTTCATGATGTCTGCTGTCAGCAGGTTGACTGACATATAGGCAGGCCACACCCAAGGGCAGTGTAAGAGAAGGGGACACACAAAAGGTGATTCCATGGAACATTCTATCCGAAACAGGGCAAGGAGTAATATTACAAAGGAACAGGTGAGCGTAGCTTGACCCATGGGGCTGTAAGAAGGCACACCCATGCAGGAGACATAGTGGCTGGAACCCTAGAAGATCCAGGCTATCTAGCAGCATGACCACACCACTCAGCTGGGGAGATGGRCCCAGTCACATGCTAGTCTGCCTCCCACATCAGATATATTCTTTTCATTTGGCTTCACAGTGACCAATGAGAGAGAGATTATGTCTTCATTTCACAGATGAGGAAATTAATGTATAAAGAGATAGTTACTTTTTCAAAGTTAGAATGTGAGTGTAATGTGTACCTAGAATTTGAATTCATCTGCTAGCACTCAGGTCTCTAGCTCATAATCAGCTATTTTTCTGCAGTTAATAATTTGTATCCAATCTGACTACTAGAGCCAAGGCWTCCAGTCCAAATGTCTACTTGTTTTAGGCTATTCTTGTCCCTTGTTTTTCCAGAGGAATTTTATKACTGCTTTTTCTATTTATATGAAGAATGTCATTGGAATTTTGATTGGAATTGCATTAAATTGGTGTAGAGCTTTTGGYAGTATGGTTATTTTGACAATATTAATTCTGCCTATCCAAGAACAAGGGAGATTTTTCTCTCTTCTAAGGTCTTTTTAAATTTCTTTCTTTAGTGTTCTATAGTTTTCATCGTAGGGGTCTCTCACCTCTTTCATTAAGTTGATTCTCAAGTGTTTTATTTGATATTTTGAGGCTACTGTAAATGGGTTAGTTTTACTAGTTTCTCTTTCAGAGGATTTGTCACTGATGTACAGAAATATTTTTGATTTATAGGTGTTGATTTTATATCCTGCTACTTTGCCAAATGCACTTATTAGTTCTAGAAGTTTTCTGGTGGAATTTTTTGGATCYTCTAGATATTGAATCCTGTCATTGGCAAATAGTGATAGTTTGAGTTCTTCTTTTCCTATCCACATCTCTTTAATTTCTATTGTCTGTCTAATTGCTCTGGCTAGAGTTTTCAAGAATTATGTTAAATGGAAGAGGTGAAAGAGGGCATCCCTGTCTTGTTCCAGTTTTTAGAGGGAATGCTTTCAATTTTTCTTCATTTAGAGTGATATTACCCTTGGACATAGCATAGATAGCTTTTATAATGTTGTGATATTTTCCTATTATCCCTAGCTTTTCTAGTGTTTTGAACATGAAGGGGTGTTGTATTTTGTTGTGCATTTTCTGTATCTATTGAGATGATCATATGATTCTTTTGTGTCTATTGATACAATCAATTACATTTATTGAGTTCCTTATGTTGAACCATCCTTGCACCCTTGGGATGAATGCCACTTGATTATAGTGCACCATCTTTTATATGTTTTTTTATTTGATTTCCTAGAATTTTATTGAGAATTTTTGCATCTGTGTTCATTAGAGRTATTGGTCTGAAGTTTTCTTTCTTTGATATGTTCTCTTTCTGGTTTTGGAGTCAGGGTGATATTGGCCTCATAGAATGAGTTTGGAAGTATTCCCTCATTTTCTGTTTCATGAAATAATTTGAGAAGTATTGGTATTAATTCTTTGAATGTCTTGTAGAACTAATCTGTGTATTCATCTGGTCCTATGCTTTTCTTGGTTGGTAGGATTCTGATGACATCTTCTATTTTATTGCTTGAAATTGATCTGTTTAACTTGTGCATATCATCCTGATTCAATTTGGGAAAATCATATGACTCTAGAGATTTTTCAATGCCTTCGATAGTTTCTATTTTATTGGAGTACAAATTTTCAAAATAATTTCTAATTATCTTCTGTATTTCTGTAGTGTCCATCGTGATATTTCCTTTCTCATCATGGATGTTAGTAATTTAAATTTTCTCTTTCCTTCTCTTTGTTAGTATAGCTAAGGGTTTATCAATTTTATTTATTTTTTTATCATGCACATGGTCAACATTCTTTTTAAGTTATATTATATATTTTGTCTTCATTGTCCGAGGTCCTGTCTTCCAAGTGACCTAATATGTTGGTGGTGTTTTCGAAATATTGAGTTTCTAATKTGGTTTATTGTTTCTTTCATGTTAAGGATTTCTTTTTTTTTTTTTTTCAGAACCTCTATCTCCTTATTGAAGTAAACTTTTGCTTCCTGTATTTATGTAGCTCTTTATCAAAATGATCTTTTGCCTCCTGTATTTGCTCTCTTATATCACCCTATAATTCACAGGACATTTTAATTATGTACATGCGGAACTCCTTTTTTGTCATTTCTTCTGCTGTGTTGGCCATGGATTCTAGTAATGTAGTATCTTGGTTTGTTTGGGGCACTTTCTTCCCTTGTTTCTTCGTGTGGTTTGTATGTCTTCCCTTCTAGCACTGAGGTTCCAAGGCATTAACAGTTTTCACCCTATAGGCTTATAGTGTCCCTGCAGGGTTCCAATACCTCTCCTTTAAGGGGGAGAACAATATTAACATCCCAATRCAAACAATAAACCAAATAGCCTTAAACCAAATAGCTGCTATTACGACATATACGGTTTTGTCACAATTTACAGACATKGTGAGTGCAGTTATTATCTATAATATAAACAGTAGGTTTGCAAAAAAGTCTACAGTTTCTGATTATATACAAAGAACCAGGGGTGAGGTGTAGCATGAGATGTTGAATAGGTAGGAGGTAAGGATATAGAGTTATTATATATTAGGAAGCATGAAAGAGGAATCCAAACAAGTTGGTTAGTAGCAGGAGAAGAGAGAGAAAGTTATTTGGGGTTGACAAGTAAGTGGGAAGACACTAGAGTACAACAAACATTAAGTATTACGAAAAATTATATATATATATATATATATATATATATATATGATAAAAGAATATACAATACAACTGTAATATACTATTCAGACATCCCAGTCCTTAGTAGTCTAATTCATGAAAAGTACTTGGTTTTACAGATTTGGGGAATGTGAGGGTGGGAGGAGAGACAGAGAAAAAAAATAGAGAAAAAAAAATCTGGAGGGAATATAAAAGATTGTTTTTGTTGCAAGCCAGTATCTTTCTTGCTTCTCTTCTCATCCAATAGGTTGGGTTGTCCATTGTTTGCTGGTATCTCCATCCTCAGGATGGTGAAGATTACTAGGGTGGGAGGGTTGGTCTTTCTTGCAGGGTAGAACTCCTGTAGGTGGGGTTTAGTTGACTCCTTTGGGGTCCTCTTATGTGATGTGGGCACCTGGTCTTATCTCCTTATATTGCCTGTAGACCTCACAATTCCTTGTCTCTAATTTGGTCTCTAAATTGTATCTCACTCACCCCCCTCCCTTTCTACTTCCCAATTAGGAAACTCACTCTCCTGAGGTCTATGGGCTGTGCTCTGGGAGCTGCACATCTGTCACAGAGAGCTGTTTTGTATTGTGTAGTTCTGGACCAGGTTTTGCAGCTATGGACGGCCATGTAGCTGTAAGCACTGTGCTGGGTTAGCAGCTGCAGGAGACAGTGGGGAGTTGTGGATTATAGGTACCTTGATTTTGTTTCTAAGCCCCAGCGGGTGTCTTGTGCTGGGAGTTATCCCAACTAAAGATGGTGACAAAGCTGTCCCAAGATGGAGGCAGCTGCTTTTGGTGATGGGGTGTTGGGTCTGGTGGGGCCTGGTGATGGTGTTGAGCAGCATGTTCAGAGATGTTGCTCTGTGGCTTACAGTGTTGTGGCTGGCAGCTGACTGCAGACTCTGTGTAATATTCTCAGGTACAGGCTACTGCATGTGGGGGACTCCCACAGTGGTTGCAGTATCCCAAGATGGAGGCAACCTGGGCAAGCCCCACGTTAGTAGGTGGGGGTCCACAAAGGCATGGTGGCCAGAGGTCCAATACATGGGTAGCTGTCGAGAGTCCTCTAATATCTTGGAGAGGAACAGTCTTCCCACTACTTGAATCCCAGGTCACGGAGCAACACAGAATGCAGCCTCCCTCTGGCCCATCATCTTGGATCCTCCCAGAATTCTTAATAGAGTTCTGCATTGTCTTTTCCAAAACTTAGCCCCTGGCAGAGCAATAAGGGTTTTCATTTTAAATGTGGAAATCCACAAAACTTTTAGAAGTTAATGATTTTTATGAGGAATTTTATTCTGCAAAAGTGGGGAAAATATGTACTTTGTTCCACTTGAGAACTACTAAGGGAAAATATAATGCTTATATTTTCTTTCCCAGTGAGTCATGTTTTGTTTTGTTGTTCCTTTAAATCAGTGTTTTAAAGTACTGTCAGCAATAATTTGTTATCTCAAGATAAAACTAATAAGTACAGAAATTTTTAATTCCTAGCTTATTGGGGAGACCTTCTCAGAGTTACTTCAATTACGTGTAATTTACATGGGAATGGCTGAGGCTAAGTATTGAATGACAGGCCAGTGGATTAATGAATATAGTGTGTTAGAAGCAGCTATTAAACAGATATATGTTGTGCTTTGTTTAGTGTGCCCTTGAAGAATTTCTTTTAATTACATGACTAAAAAATCTAAAATGTTAACCTCTAGTATGGATTTTTCTGATTGTTATAAGAGAAGGAGTATGAGGGACTTCCTCCCTTTTAATATTATACTTAGATGTTGACTGTAGCTCTCTCTCTGTATTCACTGAAAAAAATGCAAGTGAACAACTTCTAGAGTGGGAGAAATACAGGAAAGAAAGGAACCAGTAACTCCATGCTTTTTTCAGTTTAAGCAAAGTTACTAAATGTCCATATGTGCAAAGTTCACTGCAGGAAAATGGACTAAGATATACTCTATGTCCATATGTGCAAAGTTCACTGCAGGAAAATGGACTAAGATATACTCTAGATGTAGAGTAGACACATATATTTGTGTATATGTGTGTATGACACTTCTCATATATATGTGATGTGTCTGTTATATGATGTTATCTTTTATAATCTGTCTCATGTTTGCAGCATATTGTAGGRACTTTTATAATTTACTGATACAATCAACTAGCTTAAAATTTTTATAAAAAGTTATTTTGAAAAAAAGTTGAAAGTCAGCCTCAGCAACTTCGTGTGGCCCTAAGCAACTCCTCAGTGAGACCCAGTCTCTAAATAAAAATATAAAATAGGGCTTGGAATGTGGGTCAGTGGTCGAGTGTCCCTGTGCTCAATCTGATACCAAAGAGAGAGAGAGAGAGAGAGAGAGAGAGAGAGAGAGAGCGCGCGCGCTAGTTAGAAAACCTGAGTCTGCATCAAAGTGAACCTCTTTATAGCCGGCTGTGTGACCTTTGTAAATTGTGTGATCCTTTCTTTAAGCCCCTCTCTTCTAATCTTTAAGAGGTAAAATAATAGTGCCTTTCTCTTAGGACTTTTGGGAAGATTAAAATTAAATGCTAATATATGTAGATGTTTAATTCTCTGCCTGGTGTATAAATGTGTATTCAATCATACTGGCRTGGCAGTCTTCCTTCTCCCCAAAATACATTATTGTTATTATTATTATTATTTTGCAGAAGTTAGTTAAATCTAAATTCTGTAGAATAAATGAAAAATTGTATGGTACAGGAATGAAGAGCAAGAAGAGAAACCATTCCAAGAAAAAAAAAACTAAACTGTGTATCCATTTGGAAAAAATAATTCCTTAAATGTTTTCTTATTCTGTGCTACAGTAACAGAATATTATGAGACTAGATAGTTTATAATGAACAGAAATGTATATAAATGTTTTATGTAAAGGTGCCAGAATCTCTCAAGGGCCTTCTTATTATGTCATCACATGGTGAAAGACAGATAAGACAAGAGGAGTCAACTTTTCCTTTTATAATACCTCTAATCTGACTCAGAAAGGTAGAGTTTCGTGACCTAGTCATCTCTCAAAGATCCCACCTCTTACTACAATAGTAGCATTTTATTTTGGTACTGGGGAATTAATTAAACCCAGGGTCTTTTTACTACTTAGCTACATCCCCAGTACTTTTGATATTTTATTTTGACACAGGGTCTTGCTAAGTTGCTGAGGTTCGCATCAAATTTGCAATCATCCTCCTCAGTTCCCTGGAGTTTCTGGAATTACAGGTGTGTGCCACATACCTGGCCCAAATATTATTATTTACTGGTAGGAATTTTAAAGTACTAATGCAGATAACATGGAGGTGAATAATGAAAATTTGATTGAATTTGTAATACTAAAAATGAGAAATATTTGGAATAGATTTCTGTCAAGTATTCAACTCTTTTGTAGTGAGCTGAATAAAGCTGTATAAATTGGAAGTTATTGTAAATATGACAGCTACAGTCAGAGTTCATTTATAGGGCACAAGCTGTTTTAGTCCTGACTGTAAACTTTGTTGSTCTTGGTAGCTATACTTTTACTGTATCTTTACCTTGATGTCAATTCTTAATTTAATGTCTAATGGGTGTAAACTGATTTGATTTTGATTTCATTCCGATTATTAGGAAATGATGAACTATATTTAACTGTTGGCCTTCCATTTTAAGAGTTTTTAAAAATAATTGCTGGGCAACAGAATGTTAATCTGTGTATACTTTTGTAGTTTGCTCCTCAATATAAATTAATCTAATACATTATTTTAGACTTAATATCATTAAAAAGTATTATAATTACTATAGGATAGTGTTCTGCTTAGTATGCTTTTCAAATGGAAATTACCCATGGAAAACATTCCAGTGATATAACCATTTTAGACATTTGAATTAATAGACATATTGAACGGAAAAAAGACTATATTGTGGGTTTCTTTTGTAATCTCTAGTAATTTTAATTATTCAGACAAAAGATGTCAGTTTCTATYGCTTAATAATCATTACTACAAAAAAAGATTTTCAATTTTATAGGAAATTAAATCTACTTATAATGTGTTTGAAATTAATTTCATGTTATGTATATTTTTGCCAAATTTCAATAGTTGGTTAAGAAGCAAAATAATCTCTATATGTTGTAAAATCACAATATTTCTGTCACTTCAGTATCTTTTTCTTTACCTTAATTACAAAATTCCAGAAAGATGAAGAATGAAATGACTGTAAAAATGTAGAGGATGCAGTTGAGGATATTAATAATGTATATTAAATGTGAGAGTTCAGAGATGTTAGTCAAATTCACCATTTTTTTCATTCAGCAGTGCATTGGGATGCATAAAAGCAAAAACTAAGCTCTCAAAAGCCATTTGGATTTTTAAATAAAGTCTGTTTCCAAAATTCAGGCAAAAAGAGTATAAAATGTTAGATCTACAATAGATAATGTTGGGATGATATTTAGTGTTTTTTTATCATGTTTTACAGCTCAACATGAACTCTGCTCCTACATTTATGCATTTTCCTCCAAAAGGCAGACCCAAGAGAGCTGATACTTTTGACCTTCAAAGAATTGGATTTGCAGCTGAACAGCTAGCAAAGTGGATTGCTGACAGAACAGACGTTCATGTATGCTTTTATTCCTCACATTGTAATAATAGACTGATGAGATTGTTTTATTAGAGTATTTTAATAAGTCTATAGGATTTTTAAATTTGCATATGGATATTTGTTCTAGCATAGAGAAAACTATGTTTGATATCTAATGAATGATAAGCTTAACTTTGATTAGGTGAATTCAGATGGTTTTTAGAACAATGGTTGGTTGATATTTTGAAACCCATTAAAAAGTTCGAGAGTTAGACCCAAGCTAATTGGGGGGGGGCAATGAAAATGCATTGACAATGGTTTAATAATATTAGCAATTAAAGAAATTTAATTAAAAACCAAGTGATAAAATTTTTTATCTTTTGTGCAAATAGGAATAAAATTTAGAACCATATGGAAAAAATACCTACTTATGTGTACTGCTGTTACAACTGTAAATTGATGTAACTATTTTAACAGTATATGTTATAAATCTGTCTTTTGTAATTTAACTTAATTCTACTTCTAGGAATTTAACTTAAGGATGTAATTAGGGATGATTTCAGATTGTTAGTCATAGAAGAAAATTTTTAAAAGCTTTCATTTTAATGGAAAAAATGGAAATAAATCAAATGTCTATAAAATAAGAGACTCAATAAATGTGCTATGGCATAGCCAAAAAATGATTTGCAAGAATATTTCTTATAGGATCAAACTCGTGGTCTGCCAAGTGAGAAAATAGTTTTGAAAGTATTTATAGTATGATCTAGAATTTTTTAAGAGCATAAATGTAAATATAGGTTGAAATAGACTGATTATKGTGGAAGGAGATGATGTTAATGATAACATCTAGGACTTAAAGCTATTTTTTCCCTAATAATTTCATTATTTTCTGCATTGAACAAATATAACCAGTTACTTTAAAAGTGTATTCATACTCAAAGTAATACAGAAGCATTCATTTTTACCAGTAGGTCTGTATACATTTAATCTAAGAGAGTTGTCTCTCATATGGACCAATTGGACAAATTGTATTTACAGTGTATAATAATTTTATTTGAGCTGCTACTGTCCATATTAGAATTATTGGATCCTATTATGTAGTTCCAGTTAGAATGTTATACCCTTTATAACATTTTCCCATCTTTCAAGATCTATTCTAGATTAAGTCATTTCATTTAGTTGTTATCTTTCTTATCTTGCTTTAATCTTGAATATTTCTATAGCCTGCTGGCTGTAGAAATATTTTGACCTTCAAAGAATTGGATTTGCAGCTGAACAGCTAGCAAAGATAATTTTTTAAAAAATGACCTACATAGTATGGTGGCTAATGTTTAGTCATATAGGATTCTGCTTATGCTTTCTTAGCCACCATACTATGTAGGTCATGTTTTTTTTTTTTTAAATTATCTCCTGTATTTATCCTATGAATCATGAGGGGATATTATTTTCATGCCATAGTCACTCCAACGTCAGGTACTCAGCAATTGGAGACCTCCTGCAGCGCAAAGCCTTTGGAAGTTATCCAAATCATATCACTTCTGGTATCTTTTTCATGTGGTGTGTGATGCCTCTTGTTTCTTGAACTTGAGAGTACAATCAATTTGTTTTTATCTTGAACTTTTCTACCTTCATCTGACTAATCATATCACAAAAGAATACAATACATATTATTTCCCCCTGTGGTTTGTAATTTATTGCTATTCTTAATTAATTTGGTTCTAAGTTATATCAGAGTTCACTAGTGGGAGTCCTTCAAGGTGAGTCCTGTGTTCTGTGACATGCCTCATCATTTTAAATACTTTCTTATTTTCTGACCTAACAGTTAATTCCAGACTCTTCTTGTATCTACCCATTTACTCAACCTAACATCAAAAGCCATCTCTTCAAAGATCCTTGGTTCTTTTTAGGAAGGAAAAGTTACTATAATAAAGTACTTTACAAATCATGAGTTCCTATCAGTTGTATCTATTTCTATTAAATAGCCTTTACACTTTAAAAGACAACATCAAGAGTGAGTAGACAGCCCACAGAATAGGGGAAATATTTTGCAAATCATTTTTCTGATTTATATTTAGTAATATGTAATAAGGTTCTAAAAAGCAATAAGGAAAAGACAAAACCCATTTAAAAGTGAGCCAAGGATCTGAATAAACATTTCCATATGGAGATTGTACAAAAGGACAATGAGCCTATGGAAAGATGCTGAACTTTGTCATTCCTTAGGGAAACCAATCAAAAATCCAATGAGAAGGGCTAGTAACTGGGAAAAAAAATTATTATTTCTCTTTCACTTTTAAAATTTTCATTTCATTTTTGCAGATTCGTGTTTTCAGACCACCGAACTACTCTGGTACCATTGCTTTGGCCCTGTTAGTGTCACTTGTTGGTGGTTTGCTCTATTTAAGAAGGAACAACTTGGAGTTCATCTATAATAAAACTGGTTGGGCCATGGTATCTTTGGTATGTTATCACACTGTCTCTTTTTCATCTATTTCTTTGTATAATAGTTAAGTTTTATAATATTAGCAAAATGAGCCAGATTATTAATACAATGGATTCAAATATGAATGAGAAGAATTCATTTTTTATGACTGTGATGATATAGTATAAGTTCATTGTCAGTTTAATCTATACTATCTTCCTTCCACTTTTCACTATTAAAATGTAATGTTCCTAAGCACTTGGCACATTTCAAGCGCTAAATAACACATATTCAACATATTTAGAAAACCAGTAAGAATTGATAATGTTAGCTTGAAGTAATTTGCAAACTGAAGCAATTTGCAAATGTATTCATTTTTTTCCAACTACTGTTTCTACTGTTTGCCTGATGTTTCTTAGGTAGTAAGGTTAATAGATAAAACACAGACTCTGCCTATAATGAATTTGTTGTGAGGATACAAACAAATCAATAGACAAATACAGCATAAGGTTATTCGTGCTCTAATGGAGGGTAAACAGGTAGAACTATAGGAATACAGAGAAAGAGTACTTTCTCTAGAGCAAAGGGTATCCCTGAGTGTGAGAGGAGCTAAATTTTAAAAAGTAAATGAAATTCTGAAATTCTTAAGGTCAAGTAATCAATTATGTGGATTATGGACTATTCAGAGGACTATATTTCTGTGTGGCTAGAGCAATGATGACAAAGCAAGAAAAGGAGTAAGAGATGATGCTGGGGAAAAAAAGAAGACAGTTCTTGATCACAATGCTAAGATGTATGGGTTTTATCCCACAGGCAATGGGAATCCATTAAAATACTCCTGAGACAGATATCATGATTAAGTTTGTTAGAGTGATCAYTGTAGTACATTTCATTTAAAGCAGTGGATTGATTTGGCAGATGGAATACTAGTTAAGATAATATTGGAAGAACCATAGGAACATGCTCCTTTCTGAGTTTCTACAGAAGTACTTTTCTTTCTGATTCTTATAATCATGCTAAATTTCTTTAAATAATTAGCTAATAAAATAAAACATAAATATTATATTAGTAAAATAGATTCAGATACTGATAGGTCTGCTGCTTACTAGTTATATTAATTAAGACGTTGGTGTTGAAACATAAATATCACAAAATTCATATTATACATATGGGCTTAAACTATTCCTGGAAATAAATAAAACGATTTCCTGATGTAGAGGGGATTATTATTATTATTATTATTATTATCATCATTATTATTATTAATGTAACTATTTTCAAAGACATGAGAGTAAAGCAAAAAATAGTAACATTAATAAATTGATGGGTTTGTGTGTGTGTGTGTTTGTGTGTGTTTGTTTTACATTAAGTGGTATAGTATGAAATTTAAATTAGTTGGGGTGAGTTTAAGATACATACATATTGTAATCTCCAGGTGACCAACTGTAAATTAGCAAAGAGATATAGCTAGCAGGTAATAGAAGGATTAAAATATAAAACAAACACCTATAATTACAGAAGAAAAGAGGAAAAACACAGGAATAAAAAACAAATGAAGCAAGCTGAGTGTAGTGAACATGTCTGTAATCCCAGCTACTTTATTCCATTTACTGGGAAGGCTGAGGAAGGAGGATCACAAATTTGAGTCCAACCTATGCAAATTAGAAAGACTTGCCTCAAAAAAATAAAAATAGGTTGTGGCTGGGAGGTAGCTTAGTGGTAGAGCGTTTGCCTAGCATGTGTAAGGCCCTGGGTTCAGTCCCTAATACTACAAGAAACAAACTCCTCATGAAACAATATAAATTAACAAATGGGAGAAAACTATAATCATATCAATGTGTTTACATGCATTGTGTAAACAAACAATACTCTAATAAAATGCAGTTTTCCCACTGGATAAAAGTCAGTGACAAACTGGGTGCAAGAGAAATACTTTAAAGGCAAAGGTACTAAAAACAAAAGAATAGAAAACTACAATACCCCAAACAGGCCTAAATAAATGAAGAGATACCCTATATTCAAGATCACAAAATTTTATATTGTCATGTTATATTTCCTTCAGATATATCTATGGTTTTTGATTCCTGGCTAGAACTCCTAAGATGGTGATTAGGCACAAACATTAATGGGAGCAGTTTCTGGCACTRCTTTGGCTTCTGTATGAATAGGAATATAGCATTTGGGAAGTTGCAGCCAAGCAGCTCAGATGCCTTCCCCATGCCCGATGCTGTTTGGTACAGTGGCAGAGTTTGTGGATGCATCCTGGTTGCCACCCTTGTGCCACTTTTTTTATGCTGGTATATATTTGAGGCAGAAAGTTATAAACTCTACCTGAGTAGCCACTATCACAACTTCTCGAAGCCCACCTGAATCCAGCACAGACATGTCTAGCATTCAGATTACATGGAAATGATGGTGTCATTGCTGCTGCTACTCCTGATTGTGCTCTGCTATCTTGATGCTATCTCCGGGGCGGGGGGGAACTGGAGTAACTCACTCTGCATGGCATCACTAAGTTGGACAAGATTATCTCCTTTATCTTGAAAGAGAACTAATCAAATTTCTAAGGTTTCTTGAGGCCTTTGCAGAGGAACAACTGAAGGTGCATATATATTTCCTCCATTGAAGTTGTAGTCGATACTTACTCAAAATTAATAGTTATTGGTACGAATCAGCTTTCAGGTACTCCAACTGTCTTTGGTCCCTTTGTCATAGGGCTATGAAAAGTGGCTAGGAAACTATGTCTCAGCATTTTTAGAGTTTCTTTACTGGATTTTTTATTTGATCCAACAGCAAGTTTGGCTGGGGATTAGGAGCTTAAGAGAAAGACAGACCAGTGGTTTCATCTCAAACCCAAAAGTTTCTATAACAATCTGTAAGCACTTCCCAAGCATTGCTGGTGAGTGCCCCTTGGAATCTATTTCCCATGAACATTTGATGAAATGTCCTATGAGACCCTTAGGCTCTTGGAAAACGCAGAAGTCGTTTCATGAGTGCCCTGAGAGACCTTCAGGCTTTTTTATTATTCTAGAACAGCCATTTTGTTTAATTGCCCAATCTCCGCACTATGTCAATTTGCTGAGCTTTCAGATGTCAAGGCGGTAATTTAAAACAAGTAGCAGAAATGAAAGTAACAATCAATATTTATTTACTTACTAGGTCAGTTTATAAGCAAGAGACTAAGAARAACTGATTAATTTTTCCCCCAGGAATAGTACTGGGCAAGTATCAAATGATACTCATTGCAGAGAGGGAAATCCTCTTACTATGAGTCCACTAAAGGTATCTGCCTTTATTAGACCTGATGAGGTAAAGGAATTCTGAGTCAACAGGGTTCTCAAAAAGTTGTCAATGTATCACCTAAGGCTCCTGGATAGTCTAGGAATATATATATATATATATATATGCATGACTGGCCTAGGAAGGGGAGCATTAGTATCTGACTACAATCAGAAAATGAATGTACTGGCTGGGCACCAAGTCTGGTATGAAAAGGGCAGCCTTCTCTGCCCCACCATCATGAGGCCTTTTGGTTGCCTATTACAACACTTGAAAGATGAACACTTACGCTTGTGTCTTGTATATAGACTTATCAYATTTTAACCAAGAAAAAGTTAATGTGGCCATAAGGCAAATAGGATTTCAAACAGATATAAATAGTTACAATGTAAGGATTAAGAATAGAGTCTGCCATTTTGGCTTTAAGGACACAAATATAACCTGAAAGAAAAGATGTCCTATGTAAATTGCCAACAGAAAGACAGGAGGGGTGGCAGCATTTACTTTAGACAAAATAGACTTTAAGTCAAAAACAAGACAAAGAAATTTATTGTATAATAACAGAAGAGTCAGTTTATCAGATGTGTTTAATAATAGCATAAATATATGCACTCACAACATTGGAATACATTGTATATATAAAGCAAATATTAATAGAGTCAAAAGGAAAAATCCACAGTAATACATAGGGAACTTCAGTGCCTCATTTTTTTTTTTTTTTTTTTTTTGGTACTGGGGATTGAACCCAGGACCTTGTGCATGTGAGGCAACCACTCTACCAACTGAGCTATATCCCCATCCCCAGTGCCTCATTTTTAACAGTGAAGAAATCATCCAGTAAACCAATGAGGACATAGATGACTTGAGCAGCACCTTAAAACTAACAAGAATATATAGAAATTCCATTGCAACAGCAACAGAATACACATTCTTCTCAAGGACACATGATACATTCTTTAGGATAGATTATATGTTGGGAAATAAAACAAGTATTAAAAAATTTAATAAGATTGAAATAATCTCAAGTATGTTTTCTGACTAGTGATGTGAAACTATAAATTATCAAGACACAAATTAGAAAATTTACAAGTATATGAAGAAGATTAAAAAAGAAATCAAATGGAAATAAATAAAAATATAAACACAGCATGTTAAAATTTGTGACATTTAGTGAAAGAATTCAAGAGAGAAGCTTATAGAAATAAACAACTTATGTGAAGAAAATAATAGATCTCAAATAAACAGGTGACTTTTTACTCTAAGGATGAAAAAAAGAACAAACTAAGCCCAAAGTTAGCAGAGGAAGGGCGGGGGAAGAACAGTAAGATATATAAAACAAAGACAATAATAATAGAAGGATCAATGAAACAAAGAGTTGTTTTTTTTWAAATATAAAATAAACAAATCTTTACTAGCCTAACTATGAAGAAAGAAGATTCAGAAGGAGAAATGAAAGAAGAGACGTTATAATTTATACCACAGTAGTACAGATAATCATAAGAAAATACTCTAAACAATTATATGACAACAAATTGGATGGCCTAGGTAAAAGGTAAATTCCTAGAAACATGCTACCTATCAAGACTTATTAAGGAAGAAATACAAAATCTCAGCACACCAGTAATGAATAAGGAGATTGTACCAGTAATCAAAAGCCTCCAAGAAAATGAAACCTAAGATCAAATGGCTTCATTGGTGAATTCTACCAAACATTTGAAGAAAAATCAATACCTGTCTTCCCAATATTTTCCAAAAATTG